AGGTCGGTTTAAATTGATTCTCCATTTTGGGTAATCGAACCGCGAGGAGGTTCAGAATCGAAATCGTCCAACGAGAATATGAGCGAGTTGTTAATGATTAACGATTCCTTGTTGGATCAATTGGAGAGTAGAGAGACATATGCAAATAGTGTTAAGAATTGCGGGATCGTTGCTAATGTTTGTCAGATGCCTCACTCTATCAATCCAATTCGGGTTCATCCCGCCCTTGTGTTTATCCCGCCCTTGTGTTGGATTTCTTATTCAGCATTTTATCTGGGTATATCTATGTTTATCTAGTTCGGCGGACATGGCCAAATACCGAATAGGATAATTTGTCATCCTATTAGGACTCAAATCCGGACTGCTTAAAGTTTTTAGTAATGTCATGCATGATAAGATGTGTAAAATTAATACTCTAACCGATGTTGGAGACTATATATAAGAGAGTTTCAAACAAGCGAGCTATATTTAGTAACTAATGATGGTCCGTCGTATCACTTAATATTTCTATTTTGTGAGAATAAATCTCAATCCACTTAGTATTAGTGTTAATATTTTGCTGTCTTGAGGCAATGAGTTGGCATTTGGCAGAACATTTTGCAACAAATTGAGTGTCCGATGCATGACAAACCTTGATTGAGTTGGCTAGTCATTTTGGTGCTGTTACCCTCTTAATTAATGTAATTATTGGATAGGGCGGTTAAGAGTTCCCCATACTCTATTATTGTAGTTCAATGATTACCATAAACTGGTTTTAAAACTACCAAGTTATTGTAGAATGAAGCCATTAGGAAATATGATAATGAAGAGCATTGTTGAGTGTAAATCACGCCCTCTTTGAACAGTTCAAGTTTTTGTAGTAAACGATTGGGTACTACTAGGGGTGAGCGGTTCCCGGTCCGGTCCGATCCAGTTCCAATGGGACCAATATTAAATATTATTTGTAAACCGGAAACCGATTGTTCCGTTCGTTCCTTTGTAGTTCTGATTTGATCCCATAAGACCATGGAAAAAATTGGAAAAATATATATAATATATGAAAAAATTGAACAATCGGTTCCAATGAGACCAATATTAAATATTTTTCATATATATTTAATATATATGAAAAAATTAGAAAAATATATATTTATCAGTCCGGTCCGGTCAGTCCGGTTCCCACCCTAGAACCGGGAACCGGATCACCCGGAAACCGGTTCCACTTTTAGGAATCGGGAATCGGACCAAACCGGTCGATTCAGTCCCGGTTGGGTGGTCCATCTTGCTCACTCCTAGGTACTACACTTTGCCACGACATATTGAGACGGAGGTCTCGAATTCAATTTAAAACAACTCTTTTTCACCAATTTATGGAATTTTATGTTTAAAAATTTTAGTCTCCGCCATTCTATTCTTTTCCCTATAAATACAAGGGCAAGCATGGGCTCCATTTACGGTTTATGGTTATAAGAGAAACTCATAAAAAAATGGGTTTCCATATAATATTATATATTGCCTCAATCATCACTTTATTAATGGGTAATGTCATATTAATATAGTCTTAGCAAAATAATTTAGTTAATCTATACTCCTAATCATCAATATATATGTTATTTGCCATTTTATCACATTTTCTTTTGCTTTTCCATTTTAATATATAATTTCAATTTTATCAATGGAATTCTCTTTTTATTACAGCTTTTCTTTGTCCATATGCTACATATTGGATTTAGATGAGACTCGTAATTGATCATAGTTAAGCTATGTATTCACTAATGGTGAAATATTTCGTTACTGGTAATTTACGTACAGTTTATTTGGATAATTTAATGCATTTCATTTTTAAATGTTATCTTTAGGGTAATTATATAGAGTTTTCTTGTTTGCATGTTAATTTAAAGCTCTTTTTTATTATTAATTTTTGTATTTCCAAAACAAAGCTTTTTATGGATATGTTTTTTTTAATTGAATTACGATTTCTAACTTAGGTGCTAATTATTAACTGGTTAATTAAATTTTCAGTAGGTTTAAGCAATTCTTTATATTTATTTCACTTCTTATAAGAAGATGATGCTCTCTATTTTTGATCTTAATTGGTCAATTGCCTGATTGTACTTTAGTTTTCTAATATCAACTATGCCATCATTTCTTAATATTTGTTTTCGTCCATTAGCATTATTATTTTTGTATTTTGGCAACTTGTTATAAGCAAAGAAACATGTATCCTTCAGGAAATTTCAGTGCCTATAGTTCAGATTATAGCAATAACTTAGTATTAGTCTCTATTTGTTTTGCGGATGATTTAAAAAAAAATATTCCTAACAATAATCACTTATATCACTTGAAATAATTAATCAATGAAATTTATTTTAATTATCGATAATAATTTATATCTAAATATTTTTGTGGATAATTAATCGTTCATTTTTCGTGAAACAAACGTAATTAGATTCAGATTACTGTGGAAAGGTCGACATCATTATGCTGATAGATCAAAGAATCAATAAAGGATACCGTGTTTGACATTTTTCAAATGGAGATAGGGTTGAGTTGCTGGTTTTCTAAGCTTATGACTCATTGCTGACGTTTGAATGCCGAAAGATGAAAATACCCAGAAAAGGTTTGACACGTATATGAATGTCAGCATATCACGATAATTCCGAATAAGCCAGTCTTCCTTAAGACTTTCGGAGGGAAGACTTTGACCAAAAACCCCGTCCACAGCCCTCTAACCAATATACATATAAACATCATAATCATGGGCTGTCCCCTGATCTGTCTTTCTTTCCTTCTTTCTTCGACTTCTGAAAATTTCAACCCAAGAGCGGAGTTGCCGGACTGAACCGACGTGTTTTGGACGATACTTAATGTCGTTTTTCCCTTGTCCACAGCGATATGTCCCCATATTGTTTGCTCGTTTGCGTTTCGATTGTATCGCGTTCGATGCTGAACTTTACGAAAAACGTCGCTGATATAAGTACATGGAAAGGTTGGACTCTCGTGTATGATTCGAACCTCATGTTATTGTTTGACTATACAACAGCCAGTGTGTAGCAAGGTTAAATTTAATATCCAAGTGGGGTATTAACAAGTGCTAAAATAGTAACGACTCGGACCATTTCGAGGGTATATATGCTTACATCCTCTCAGGTGCAATTCGTGTCTCTCTCTCTCTTTCCTTCACATTCTTCAGCAATGTCTCCTAGATTGAATCCACGAAACGTGCTGAGCTTTAGAGCTTCCCTGTTTAGGCGGATCAGTATTATCATCAGTCTCAGCATGTTCTTATTCGACTTCGTACTGTCATTTGGGGCGAACCCAAAATTTGATGATTGTCAGCCACACAACTGTGGTATCGGTCCAAACATAAGCTATCCTTTTTGGATCCCGAAAGTTCAACAACCTTATTGTGGAATTCCTGGCTTCGAGATAGAGTGCGACAACAGTAGGCCGATTTATTGGACATCTGAATCTTGTTATGCGATTAAAGAGATTTCGTATGACGAGAACTCGTTCAGAGTGGTGAATGAAGCGGTACTCAATGCAGGATGCCCCCTGCCGAGTCTCAATTACTCTTTCGAACGCTTACCTGTTACATTCGGTCCGGACCATGCCGATCTCTGCATTTTCCACAACTGCGATGGGTCATTTTCTGTTAATTCTACAATATCTTGGGCCGAGTGTGGTCCTGGTGAAGGGAACAATTCTTTTGCCGCGATAGCTAGTAAGTGCGATTACTTGAACTGGAATAGAGCGTCGTGCCAGTACTTGGTGGCCGCCCCTGTTCAGGTACAAAACTGGAAGGTGAATCAAAGTGTTGAGTACCTTAAGTTATTGGAGGACGGTTTCACGCTGAACTGGACGGGGTACAACTGCACGAGGTGCCGAAGAAGCGGGGGCCGGTGTGGCAGTCAGAATTCCACGAGTGTGTGCTATTGCCCCGACCGGACGGATCTCATACACTGCGGCAATGGTAAGGCTCCGCAAACTATTCTAATTTAGGCTTTCGCCATTCCGCTCTTCTAGAAACTTTTTCTTCATCATTCGGTTCTGATCCCCCGGACAAAGGACCAGGCTATGAGAAAATCAGATCGCTGATTTCATATCAATTCGCCTGTCTTTGGGAAATATAAAATCACAAATGATCTCACTGTCCGATTTATCTCTGTAGAATTGTTTCTTCTAACCCTTTAGTCCAAAAACTTCAGCTTGATTTCTTTGGCTTTCTTAGGTGTTCCGTTCTTCTGCTTGAAAAACTCCATCTGCTTACTTTCACTCATCATTTCTAGTTTAAGTTCAATACGACTCATGAAAAAATAAGCTACAGAGAGAACATATGAGCTCAATTTAGCTGAAGTTGCCGAGCACGTATTAGCTAGAGAACGAGAAGGTGAGGAGTTTTGACTCCCACCTCGGGATTTGGAGGGAGGGGGTTCTCTGGGGTGCTACGTCAAGTTCATCACTTTTCTCTTCTTCCTTCTGTAATATCGACGAATCTTTATCTAACATAAAACCCGCTGGGCAGATCAGATGATCACTTCACCAGTTTCTTCCTTCGCTATCAGTTGTTACCTCCTGGGTCTATCTGCCTTTGATTGTCACGAACTCAAGTTATCATAGTGCTCGACCTTGATAGAGATCAAGGGTCGTGGACGAGTCTCAGTAAAATCGTTGTGATTTTGAGCTCTTGAAATCGACCAAGTCCTTCGAAAGCGAAATTTTTTAGTTTTAGCCTTGCTCACAATCGGTCCTAATCTATTACAAAAATCACCTAAACATTCCATGACGCATCCGTTTGCTAATTTTGGAATCGACAAGTGCTTGGATACTAGTTTCTTTTCATTACTTCCTAGATAGTTATTTCATATTTTTTCAGGTGATAAAATATGGATCGTAGATTTACGGCATTAAATTTTTGTATTCGACTTTAGCCCCTTTTTCATACCAGGAAAAAGAAAAAATCGACCCCAGGAAAGCCTGTGGGAAAGCGTCGAAACCCCGTCAAACAAAGCTGGAAACTTTGCAAGGAAACAAAGTTGGCCATGGGGGGCCGTGGCCAATGGAGAGAAATCGATCGCGAGTCCTGAAAATGGACCCTTTTCAGCCGAAGTATCAACAGTTGTCATAGATTTTACTCCCACCGAGCAAATATGTGGTCCCCTACGTTTGCTCTTTCGGGTCCTCTACGCTCAGTTGACCCGGTCAATTGGCGTGTTTACGTGAAAAGAGATTCAAGGAGACATTCATATAAATGCCATCTTTAGTTTGAACCACTGAAGCCCCTTGTGTCTCTGCTATATGCCACAAAAGCTCTCCTGTTTCTGTCTGTTCTTTGTGCTTCTATTGTTCCCTCCAAAATTCCTGAAAATGGGTGTCGAAAGCTCCATGAGTTCCAAGGTTTTGCTTCGCCTTGTCATTAGCGTTTTGACGATCATCTCTTTGGAAGACTGGGTTGCATCGGAGAGCTTGAAAGATGGACATTGCGAGGGTGGTAAGTGCGGTGACGTCATCAAAGATTGTTACTTCTGGAACGACACTAAACCATGTCCTAATTTTCACAGCGAGTGTCATGAGAAGCCAGTGTTTAACCTAAAACCTAGTTTTGGGGAGTATGTTGTCGATTATGATAATCAAACTCTTAGGTCGAGCTCGGAGTTTGAGAGAACTGGCAATGCTTGTTTCGCTCCAATTGAACATTCTCCCAAACCGTCCGGTGGATCTGATACTCATGTTTCCAGATTTAAACTGCCCTCCTCTCTCAAATCCGATGAGAGGCCTTCATACCTAGCATTTCTCCATTATTGCAGCAGCTCCCCAAATGTTGATTATCTAAATCCTCACTCGACTTGCCCCTCCGGTGGCGCCAACCGCTCTTATGTCGCTCTTATAGTAGACATACAAGAAGTCCTATATCTTAATCTGTCAGTGTGCCAGAGTCATGTTATTGTACCTGTTGAATTAGAAAGAAAGGACAGAGATAAACCAGAAAATGTTGACTCTGACGACAATTTGAAGGACGGGATAAGACTGAAATGGAATTTAACCTCCTGGGAGAGTTGTGTTAAATGCAAAGAAAGTGGAGGCAAATGCAGGGAACCGGATGGAAGTTTTCAGTGCTTCTGTTCTGGTAAAGCTTATCCGCGTACTTGCAAAAGAGGTAACACTTTTCGGTTAATTCCCTGTAATAGCAACAGTTTAAATTCTCCCATGCGCTTTTCGGTGAATTTCCTGGCCATGCTCTCCAAACTTGATAAGGACTTCAAAGGAAGAGGAAGATCTTTTTGGCTTCCCTTGGTTTTCTATTCTCAGTTCCTTTTTCCCACCTTGGCTACCTTCACCAAGCCATTACTTTTATTTATATTTCTTTTGGACAATCCTTTTGTGGTTTTAGTAGTTGTATGGATTCATAGCAATGTCATTTTCTTCCTCGCATCAAAGCTGAAGAACTATGGTACAGCATCTTCAGATCACAGATACATAGTCTCGCTGCAGTCGCCTCTGTGGATCTCAACCCCTGCATTAATCATGTGCGCAGCTCAGTAAATAGTGAAATTTTTAAGAGTGTCACTGTTTGCGTTAGCCGGTTTCAATGTGAGTGCAGAGATGTGTCCAGGATTATAGATGATTACTGAATTTACGATACAGAGGCCAGCATATGATTCACTAAGAGAAGACAAATGCACAGGAAGGAAGACTAATAGGGGAAAGTGTTCTGTGCGTGTGTTTGCTTATGCTTGTTTTGCATCAGCGTAAAGTTTCAGTTAACACTGTCGCATACAACATTCCATTAAGCTTAGTTCTGTAATTTCCATGTGATATGTAACATGTGGGAATATCTATTTGTTCCTAAGATGTAATTATGTTAAGTGCTATAAAATTCAATAGCAATTTATGTTAGATCAAGGAAGCTGGTGTCTGTATTCCTGTTCTATCATTTTCATGATGTGGATAGGATCTGTATTTGTGGAATTCATTTCTAACGCGAACGCCGTCTTTTGGTACGACATCTTTGCTGCAGGAAACAACCAGGCACGTTTGAAGATTGGATTAGGTCAGTCAAACTTTTATCATGGGGGACATTCTACAATCCTTTGAGTATATATCGGTGCATTAAGCATGGTTTGTGATGGCAAAAAATTGTTATCAACACGTATTTGAGCACAATTACGATGCAAGAGCACAATGACATGCTTTGTACATTTGTGGACATCTCAGAGTCAAAGTTTTCCTGAAATTTTCCATTTCCTCTACCCGTCACTGATGCAAATCTAATGAGACTTTTGTTCTTCAGGTAGTGGAATCGGTGCCTTGGCCATTATTTGTCTCTGTTTGTGCATCTATAGGATTCGCTACAGACAACAGCATTCCTTCTTAAAATTCCGCTCAAGACATGCTTCTTCCAAATCTTCCTTGAAAGCAGATCTTGAAGTGGGCAATGTATACTTCGAGGTCCCCATTTTCACCAATGGCGAGCTTGAAGAAGCTACTAACTATTTCGATTCTGCCCGGGAGCTCGGAGATGGAGGTTTTGGAACCGTGTACTTTGGTAAGAACTTTAACGAAAGAGGCTAATTAGGCAACTTGCATATAAATGGCAAGAAATCCTAGAGACAACTAGGAATCTAAGAGGGTCATTCTCCATTTTCTTAAACAGGCAAACTTCGAGATGGCCGGGAAGTAGCTGTTAAGCGTCTATACGAGCGCAACTATCGGCGGGTGAAGCAGTTCATGACTGAAGTCCAAATCCTTACTCGCTTGCGCCACAGAAACCTCGTCTCTTTATACGGCTGCACTTCACAGCACAGCCATGAACTCCTGCTGGTCTATGAGTACATCCCGAACGGCACAGTAGCCGATCATCTACATGGGGAGCGAGCGAAGCAGGACCCTCTCCTGTGGCCTACTCGTATTAGCATCGCCATAGAAACGGCCACCGCATTGGCTTACCTTCATGCGTCTGACACAATCCACCGTGACGTGAAGACTAACAACATCCTCCTTGACAATAACTTTAGTGTCAAAGTAGCGGATTTCGGCCTTTCTCGGCTGTTCCCCAACGATGTGAGCCACGTGTCAACCGCTCCTCAGGGGACTCCGGGTTATGTGGACCCCGAGTATCATCAGTGTTACCAGCTTACGGAAAAGAGTGATGTCTACAGTTTTGGGGTAGTATTAGTGGAACTCATATCGTCCATGCCAGCGGTTGATATAAGCCGAGACAGGCACGAGATTAATTTGGCCAACTTAGCGACTAGCAAGATACGGAACCGTGCGTTCCACGAATTGATTGATCCAAATCTGGGGTTCGAGTCGGATCCCGAAATCAATAGGATGATCATGGCAGTGGCCGAGCTGGCTTTCAGGTGCTTGCAACAGGACAAGGACTTGAGGCCCTCCATGGGGACTGTCCTGGAGGAGTTGAAGGCGATTTCGAGTGGGACACATGAGCCCGACAAGTCTAAGGATGTGAGCGATGATAACAGCGCTGGTCAAGGCAAGAACCCGCCTCCTTCGCCGGAATGCGATGATGCGGGGCTGTTGAAGAATATGAAGTCGCCGACTTCACCTGTTTCCGTGACTCAAAAATGGGGAAGCAGTGGCAGTTCTTCTGTACATAGTGGTTGACACATAGTCGGATCAGTTCTCTCATGCAATTTTCCCTTCTCCATCTTGGCTTAAAGTTTTCTTGCATTTCGTTAATGGTTTCTAGCTAATATTATACACAATGTAGATGATATAGCAGGCGATCAAGTTTTCCATTTTTGTCATCATTTTTCTGCTTCTACATGTCAGCACTTCTATTGAGGCTGGAGGACGATTTGATGTAAATACTACTTAGTAAAGAGCACTTTCCTAAGAGTACGAATAAAGGATTGTACACATACTTGCCATTGTCCCTCTCTTTATCACAACATTTCGGGCGTTTGAAGAGTTTTCCCAGATCAGGGTTGAACATTGAGCATCTTTATGACATGATCAGATTTGCTCCTAAAAAGAATATGAGGACTTAACCAGATTTAGAGCCGAGATACGATGGCCAATTGCGCCGGAGGACATATCGAGTCTCATCCTAGAAACAGGCCTCGGATAATGTTTTATTGCTAAATCTCTGTCGGGGTCTAGTCATGAAGTTCCTTCACCTTCAAACTTGTGAAGTGAGTTTCGCGTGGCAATGAACACATCGCATAAGGAACTTGTGAAGTTCCTTCATGTTCTACGTGTTGAGGCGGTGTCACCCATCTAATAATAAAGAAGAAGGAATGTATAAATCATCATCGCTCGTATCGTACGTGTTACAAGGAAGACTTATTCTCACTCAAGGGCTAATCTGCGTAAATAAAGGTACGAGACAGAATTTTCATCCGAGGCCCGACTTTTTCATCCTTTTCACTGTTTTCTCCCTTACGTTCCAAAAGCACAAGCCTCAGCATTCTTTGGTCAAAAGGTTAGGAGGACCAGAAGCTTTTTCCATCATCAGCTCATCAGTTCATCACGAGAATCGTTAAAAACTACCCTTTAACTCAAAAGAAACTGCATTCTCACTCTAAAACTGTCTCCCTCTCTCGCTGTGCGTTTCTTTTGCGTTCAAAAGTCATTCTTTCTTTGAGAATTGTGAAAGACGATTTCTGAAAAGAAAAAGGGAGATCATCCACCAAGAACACGAAGAAAAAGATTGCAAAATCGCGCGCATTCTCCAGCACATGATGATCCCTTTATCATGCTCTCAAGCAATCAAAACCATCCTCTACAAAACAGTACTAAAAATTCGATTCAAATTTCAAAAGCACTGAAACCCAAGTATCCATCATTAGGCATATATAAGGAGTTCCCCGAAAAACAGAGCACCCTCGAGAAGAACAAACAGAGTACGAAAAAGATGGCGACTCTGCAGAAGTTCAAGCTCTTCGCTGCCCAGTGCGGCGTCGCCCCGAGTCCCACGCGCAGCCCAAGGGCGAGCCCCGTCGTCCAGCTCCGCCGCCAGAGCCAGAAGACCACCCTGCGGATGCTCTTCACTCGCGGCGGCGTCGTCGGGGCGCGGCGGGTCGACTCAGTCGAGCCCGAATTGGGCCACGAGAAGAAGAAGAAGAGCGTGAGCGGACGCACTCTGAAGGACCTGTTCGTGTCGCCGCCACCAAGTCCGGAAAGAGACCACGACAGAAGAGGAGGCGCCAGAGGAGATAGAAGTGGTGGGGAGGAGGTGTTTCCTTTCCATGCCGGCAGTCTAGGCGGCCTGATCACCGGACCGGGTTCGCCGAGGCCGGTCTTCATGGGGCTGCGGTTCAGGTCGCTGATGCTCAGGAAGGCTTGGCGTCCCACGCTCGAAACAATACCCGAGTGACATGATATGCAACATGCGGATCGCAAAATTTTGCCTATGCACCGTGACGAGGGCCGTTGTTCCGCGTGGCAGATCGACTCGTTCTTCCCACTCATTCCCCTAGACTCCAATCTCGATCTTATCTTCGCGATCCGCGTTGCATATTTCTGTTCGGTCTCAAGATAGTGCAGATGAGATTCTAATGAAATCAATCGCCGTTCGAAAATTGCGTTTGGGAAAATTTTACATACTATCGCATCGTAAGTTACGTTGCCTGTCGTATTGTCAGGCAGTAGAGTTTGTCGTCCATCAGGGTCTTACAATGTCGCATTACAGAAGAGTCCGACTCAACCCTGTTCACCTGATACTCCATAGATTGTAGCTCTACAGTTAAGGCAATTCACCGCTCCGGCGGCACAACCTTGCAGCGCAAGATGTCGGAACACCTTGGCCGCGCTGCGAACGTGCAGGCCGCCCCAAACCACTACCAATGCCAATCTCCGCTGTAACCATCAAAACCTGAACAGGACCACGGTTCGAGTTTGACCCCAACCCAATTTTCCCCGCTGAAACTGAGCGAAGTCTCTCTCGGAAAGATCACGGAGGAGAGGAAGAGAGCTAGGTTGTGCAATAAATATAGTGAAGGATCATTACAAGAACCAAAGTTTGACGAGTGAGATGAGTATTGATGAGGGTGTACAATCCTAAAAATTAGAAACTAGAATCAAATCTATTAAGGTCACACTTTTTCCACTCCCTCTTTAGCTAAAATACTCCTCAAAATAATAATCAGATTATATTACTTTTTGTGGATCCCACTTTTGAGTATCCCTCTTCCGCCATTATTTTAAGAAAGTATTGTTACATTACGCTTGTGTAGGTGGAGGCAACTAAATTGGTCCTCATGACTCATGACAACACCTTCTCGAATTGCCTGAGTGAAGGCATTGCGCCATATGTCTTACGGCAGAAAATTATGCAAAAATACTTTTACTTTTGCTTTTGATGAGTCACGGACGAGTTCTTCGGTAGTTTGTCTTCTTGCATTGTCAAGAATTCGAAATCTGCCTTTTTGCATAATGCATTTCTATTATTGTTTTTGCTGGTGCAGATTTAGGACTTAATTGATAAGATTAAAAGGTTGATGACTGAATTGGCAAAAGTGTAATAGATTTAAGACTATTTTGATAATTTTCCCTCATCGGGTCATTATAGATCCTCGGTAGCTAAAATGGATATTTTAAATAATATTTTAATAAATTTTCGATTTTTTTTTTGGGGTGAGTTCTTCTCCAACGCAACAAATGAAGAACTCGCCCAGCGACGACGAGCCTCGCCCTCTCCGGTCACTAGCAAGGCTCAACCTCGCCAGCTCACTGATGGCGAGTGGCCTGTGAGTTTGACCTCGCCGGCCCTTGCCTTTGGCCGATCGCCGGAAAAGAAATAAAAGGAAAAAACAAAAGAAAAAATAAAAATTTGAAAAATTATTAAAATATTATTTAAAATGTCCATTTTAGTGCCGGCCTGCCATGGCGGGCATCCATGTCAGCGATTTCTGGCCAAAATTGGCAAGATAGACTGAATTAGCATAAATGCAAAATATTTAGGACTCAATTGATCGAAAAAAAATGTTTAGAATTGAATTGGCATAGTTGTAATAGGTTTAAGACTTTTTAAATAACTTTTCCGACGATCAACAATAAGGCGGGACAAGTGTGGAAATGAAGAAAAGAAAGAAAAGAAGAAAAAAGCCGCATCTGACGCCACATGTTTCTTAATAATAAAAAAAGGTCATGTCAATAATTTTCGGTAGTTAAATTTCACAAAATTAATGGACGAACTTGATTGCATCAATTTAATTAATTTCAGGATTTGATTGTCTTTTTTTTCAAGAATTCAATTACGGTTCGCGGCAAGATTTAGAGCCACCGGTGCACTTTCTCCGTTGAAAAATCAAACAAATGTCTGTTGCTTTACTGGTTAAAGGGATAATTACATATTTTTAATCATATAGTTTGGGGAGATTTCACTTTTGGTCCCGGTCTTATTGGCTCGTGGACAATCAAAGCCATTCGGTCGAAAGTTAGCGCTTGAATTTTCCCGCAAATTATTGAATCCCGACGTAAGAAACATTAGGCTCTCGTTCGTTCCACCGTGCTTCAAGAAACATCAAGTTTAGCGTTCGCTTCGAATCAGTTCTCTTCCGGACTGCAAAACGCAGCCTAACTGAGCGATTCGACTTGCTGCATAATCAGAAGAAGGGAGAGGAATTTGAGGAGGACAGCCGGAAGAAGAAGAAGAAGAAGAAGGAGAAGAAGAAGAAGGTGATTTGGGCGCTGAATTGAATACTGCTTCTGGAGTTTCTGAATCTATTCGCGTGAGGAAGCTCGAACTGGACCCGTTTTCGCATCGACCCAAAGACTGGGGCCATTGCGCCGAAGATAGCGAAGCTATTACCGGATCTTGCTCCCAAGCTCCCTCAACGTCTGTTGGAAGAACAGTTCATCGCCCTGTTGCAGTCATGTAGGACCAAGAAGCGACTTCATCAAATCCACGCCCAGGTGGTCTGCCATGGCCTCGAGCGGAACCGCTATGTTGCCCCGAAAATCATCGCGGCTTGTGCTCAGCTCAAGGAAATGGGGTATGCCCATCACGTGTTCGACCGAATTCTCGACCCGAATGTATCTCACTGGAACGCCGTGCTCAGGGGGTGTTCTCAAAATGAATTGAACAGGGAGGTCGTTGTTTTGTTCAGTCGAATGAGGAGCATGGGCGTGATGCCCAATTGCTTCACTTTCCCTGTTGTGCTCAAATCCTGTGGCAAGATCAATGCTTTGACCGAAGGCCAGGAAGTGCATTGTTTCGTGATCAAGACTGGTTTTAAAGAAAATCCTTTTGTGGGTACCACCCTGATTGAAATGTACTCAAGTGGGGGAGAAGCTGGTCCTGCTTACAAGGCCTTTGGTGAGATGATTGAGAGGAATGTCGTTGCATGGACTTTGATGGTGAATGGATACCTCTTGTGTGGAGATGTAGTTTCAGCGAGGCGTCTGTTCGACTTGGCTCCTGAACGTGACATAGTGTTATGGAACACCATGATCTCCGGTTACATTGAAACTGGGGACATGGTGTCTGCACGGAAGCTCTTCGATGTCATGCCCAACCGGGATGTCATGTCTTGGAACACTATGTTAAATGGTTATGCTAATAACGGGGATCTCGATGCTTGTGAAGTGATGTTTGACGAGATGCCTGAACGGAATATTTTCTCATGGAATGGCTTGATTGGAGGATATGCCCGTGGTGGTAATTTTTTGCAAGTCTTGGCCACTTTCAAGAGAATGTTGATTGAAGGCACTGTGAGCCCAAATGATGCCACTCTTGTGACTGTTTTGTCTGCGTGTGCTAGACTAGGAGCTCTTGATTTGGGTAAGTGGGTACATGTTTATGCCGAGAGCCTCGGATATGGTGGGAATACATATGTTGTCAATGCTCTGATTGACATGTATGCGAAATGCGGGACTGTAGAGAATGCCCTTAATGTGTTCGTCAATTTGTGCGCAAAGGACTTGATCTCTTGGAATACCATAATAAATGGTTTGGCGATCCATGGCTGTGGGGCTGACGCCTTAAGTTTGTTCCAGCAGATGAAACGTGCTGGAGTAAAACCAGATGGAATCACGTTCATAGGTGTGTTGTGTGCCTGCACGCATATGGGAATGGTTGCAGATGGTTTCTCATACTTTCAGTCCATGATTGATGATTACTCTCTAGTGCCTCAAATGGAGCATTATGGTTGTATCGTTGATTTGCTTGCTCGAGCTGGTCTTTTGATCCAGGCTGTTGAATTTGTGGATCAGATGCCCATGAAAGCGGATGCTGTAATTTGGGCTACCTTGCTCGGAGCCTGTCGGCTACATAAGAATGTTGACTTGGCCGAAATAGCCCTCCATCGGTTGAGTGAACTTGAACCTGGAAATCCGGCCAATTATGTTATGCTTTCAAATATATACGGGGACATTGGAAAGTGGAAGGATGTGGCCAGATTGAAAGCTGCAATGAAAGATACTGGGCGTAGAAAACTTCCTGGATGTAGCTTGATTGAGGTCAATGATGATATTGTTGAGTTCTATTCCCTGGATGAGAGGCACCCTAATAGTGATGAGATATATGAAGCCTTGGACGGTTTGATAAAACTATCAAGGTCATCTGGGCATGCATCTGACTTGACCGTGTATGAGCAGTGAACTTATAGAAGAAGAGGCACATCTAGACAAAAGTCTATTAAAGTCACCGTCTTATATCAAGTCGCTTTCTTTCACTGTTTGGTGTTTGATACAGATATGATTATTTCGATTTTAAGGAAGGAAGAGAGATCGTCCGTGATATATACTTAAGAGAAAATTTAATGGTTATCTTCTCAGCCATATATATATATATATATTCCTGATGATTGACAATCTTGAGAGGAATCAGTTTCTTCTTTTTTTAAGAGAAAAAGGCGCAGGTCTTTAAACTTTTTTCTTAGTCAATTGATGCTTTCGATTAAAACGTAATGAAAATGCTGATGTGATAATTTTTTTTCCATTAAATGTAGATTTTGTCATTTCACGGGGCTTTTAAAAAAATTTGACAAATAGAAAACAGAATTAACATTTCTAAAAACACAGTATGGCAAAAATTGATAAAAAAGTGAGAGTGGACTAGCGGCTGATGGTGGTTATTGTGTGGCTGACTGCATCTGAGAGAATACTCAGAGGAAACATAAATTGCTACAAAAATTAAAAAAAAAACATATATACACCCTCAGAGGATCGCTAGCCCCCACCACTTGCGCTTGGTGTGGCGATGACTGCTGTGTGGCAAGGGCTAGGCGACACATCGCCAGGGTCGTGCAACCTTGGCCAGGTCCTCCTCACCAAGGATCCCGCAGCCCTGGTGATCTATTTTTTGGGGTTCACAACTATCTGGCTCTGTCTCTCTCTCCATTAGGGCTTGAGGTTATGTCATTTTTTAATATTTTAACCCAATCAACACGAAAGAAAATTCATGATACCACTAGTTTGTTCAGGGAGCGCTAATGTGGCAGTCTCGGACAGCATGTCGTATGCATATTTAACATATGAACTAATGTGATCAAATAAACATGTTGTTGGAGATCCAAATGGCCAGAAAAGAGTTCAGGATCATGATTGCTTATTTTCTGATGGTACAGGGACGATGGCTACCTTCGTTCCACCAATAGAGAAAGAAAACGTCATATTATAAAATTCTAAAATGAAAATGAGAGATGAAAATCAAGATTTGATTTGTTCGGACCCGTTAAGGGGCTGTGATTGTTGCGATGGCTACGCGATTGCTATCGGGTTCTGTGTGCCAATTCTTCTCCGTCTTGTCCTGTAATTCTTGGAATCTGTACCGATAATGTGATAGAATGGGACCGTCGGAACCAAAAGTGAGGAGAAGACTTCACTTTTTAAGTCAATCGCCAGCCATGAACTCAAATCATAGTACTGGACCTTCAAAGAATTCCAGGGTCGAAGACGAATCACATTGAAATCGTTGTGGCTCTGAGGCCACCGCGTTTGCTCTTTCGGGTCCTCTACGCTCAGTTGACCCGGTCAATTGGCGTGTTTACGTGAAAAGAGATTCAAGGAGACATTCATATAAACGCGATCTTTAGTTTGAGCCACCGAAGCCCCCTGTGTCTCTGCTGTACGCCACAAAAGCTCTCCTGTTTCTGTCTGTTCTTTGTGCTTCTATTGTTCCCTCTAAAATTCCTGAAAATGGGTGTCGAAAGCTCCATAAGTTCCAAGGTTTTGCTTCGACTTGTCATTAGCATTTGGACGGTCATCTCTTTGGAAGACTGGGTTGCATCAGAGAGCTTGAAAGATGCACTTTGCGAGGGTGGTAAGTGCGGTGACGTCATGAACGATTGTTACTTCTGGAACGACACTAAACCATGTACTGATTTTCAAAGCGAGTGTCATGAGACGCCAGTGTTTAACCTACAACCTTTTGGGGAGTATGTTGTCGATTATGATCATCAAACTCTTAGGTCGAGCTCGGAGTTTGAGAGAACTGGCAATGCTTGTTTCGCTCCAATTAAACATTCTCCCAAACCGTCCAGTGAATCTGATACTCATGTTTCCAGATTTGAACCGCCCTCCTTTCTCAAATCCAATGAGAGGCCTTCATACCTAGCATTTCTCCATTATTGCAGCAGCTTGCCAAATGTTGATTATCTAAATCCTCACTCGACTTGCCCCTCTGGTGGCGCCAACCGCTCTTATGTCGCTCTTATAATAGACATACAAGAAGTCCTATATCTTAATCTGTCAGTGTGCCAGAGTCATGTTATTGTACCTGTTGAATTAGCCAGAAAGGACAGAGATAAACTAGAAAATGTTGACTCTGAGGACAAGTTGAAGGACTGGATTAGACTGAAATGGAATTTAACCTCCTGGGAGAGTTGTGTCGAATGCAAAGAAAGTGGAGGCAAATGCAGGGAACCGGATGGAAGTTTTCTGTGCTTCTGTTCTGGTAAAGCTTATCGGCGTACTTGCAAAAGAGGTAACACTTTCCGGTTAATTCCCTGTAATAGCAACAGTTTAAATTCTCCCATGTGCTTTTCGGTGAATTTCATCGCCATGCTCTCCAAACTTGATAAGGACTTCAAAGGAAGAGGAAGATCTTTTTGGCTTCCCTTGGTTTTCTATTCTCAGTTCCTTTTTCCCACCTTGGCTACCTTCACCAAGCCATTACTTTCTTATTTATATAGCTTTTGGACAATCCTTTTGTGGCTTTAGGTACGTTTGTTTTGGGAAAAACTTTATGATAAAGGAAAATGCATTCTGTGGAAATAATTTTTAATGAAAATGTTTTCGCTTTTTTAGATTAAGGAATTCATTTTTCTAATTTTAAGCGTGAATGTTATCTTTAAACATAAATGGTATTTATTTTTTTTTTGTCTCAAACTGTAATTGATTTGACTAATCATTTTCGACAAACCAAGCATAGTCTGCACAGTCGCTTTTTGTAATTTTAGTAGTTAAATGAATTCACAGCAACGTCATCTTCTTCCTCGCTTCAAAGCTGAAGAATTACGGTACAGCATCTTCAGATCAAAGATACATTGTCTCGCCGCAGTCTCTTCTGTGGATCTCAACCCTGCATTAATCATGTGCTCTGCTCAGTAAATTCTGAATTTTTAATAGTGTCACTGTTCGCTTAGCCAATTCCAATGCGAGATGCAGCGATGCGTTGAGGATTATAGACGATTACTGAATTTTCCATGCATAGGCCAGGGAGGAAAATGTAAAGTGAAAAGCTTTATGCACGTGAGTTTGCTCGTGCTTGTCTTGCATCTGCTTTCAGTTGTGGTTAACACTGTTGCTTAAAACACTCCATTAAGCTTAGTTCTGCCATCCTCCACAAGATATGCAACATTAGGGAATATCTATTTACTCATAATATGTTTTGTGTTAAGTGATAGTTAGTTGATCGGTGGGAATTTATGTTAGATCAAGGAAGCCGTAAAAGATCTATACATCGTATATGAATGTCGTCATATCATCACATGACATTCGTAATAAGCCAATCTTCCTTAGACTTCCAGAGGGAAGACTTTAAACAGAACCTCCATCAACAACTTCTGAGCTAGATATACATAAACATCAATATTAAAGGTTGTTCCCTATCTGTCTTTGTTTCCTTTTGTTTCTTTATTATCACTTTTGAAATTCCAACCTAGGCCAGTTGCTAAACTGAACTGAACTGTAATGGTCGATAGTTATATCCTTTTTGCTTTGGCCAGAGTGACGTGTCTCTATTGTTTGTTTGTTTGCTTGTGGATCGTATCACATTCGATGTTGAAGTTTATGAAAACCTTGCTGATATACACGCCTGGGGAATCGTTGGACTTTCGTGCATAACTTGAACCTTATGGTTTTTTTTTATGACTATACAAATTTTTTATATATAACATGGGCAAATTATAATATCCAAGAGGGAATTTTTTTTTTTTGGGTCTGAATTCAAGAGGGAATTTATTAGTGAGTAGGGGTGTGCAAAGGAATTGCGAACCGCCCGGACCGGTCCGGCGGCTTCCGTGGGGACCGGTCCGGTTCCCGGTTTCCGGTTCCAATTTACTAAAACCGGTGAGTAACGGTGAGGTCCCGGTTCTAGGTGTGGAACTACCCACCCACCTACTCGAGCTGGACCGATAATATATATAATTTTAAGAAAAATTTTCAATAAAAAAAGGAAAAAATTAATAAAAATAAAAACCTTAAAATCCCTAATCTAAAGCTCAACACCCATCAATTGAGTGCTTGTCTCGTCTCACTTTTACCTTATCCGAGTCGTATTTCTATCTCTTACTCATGGTCTCGACTCTCAAGCTCAATACCCATCGACTCACGGCCTTGACTCTCAACTTCCATCAACTCACAACCGCGCTCGGCTGTTCATCTCCCCTTTCTCTCGCTTTCGGTCACCTCCATTTGCGTGAAACTTGGTGGGACCAGTTCCATGAACCCACCAAGGAACCGGATCGGTGCAGTCCGGTTCTCGAGTGGATCCATGGAACTAACTGGCGATTCTCAGTTTCAAATTTTCAAAACCTGTCCTTAGTGGGCAATTTCCGGTTCCATGATGGGAACCGTTCATCTGGACCATGCTCACCCCTACTAATGAGAATATTGTACTGACAGACTCCTCAGAGGGCATATATGTCTCGACCTCTCACGTGAATTCATCTCTCCCTCTTTCCTTCACATTCTTCGACAGTCCTGTAATTTCTTAGAAACAGCTAAAAGAACGCGTACTAACATCATGAGGGAATAGTGACCAAAAAAAAAAAACATCACGAGAGAATAGTAGAATTCGTCTTCTGGCTTTACAGAACCAGAAGAGAAGACTTCACTTTCCAAGTCAATCGCCAGCCTTCAATAGGAAAAAATGAAGTGTTGGTCGACCCCTTCAATTGTGCGGACTCCCCACTTAAATATGGTGAAAGGGTATGCTTTCGGATTTAAATTGGTCCATGGTCCAAGTTTATGAGTACTTGTAGATAACGTTTTGGAGCCGTAGTCATGTTCTGTCAAACCGCCTAGCGTTATTGTACCACTTCCCACATGATCTCTCTCTCTCATCTGCACCCTCCACATTAATTCCATCATCCAGCAGTCTCTTATCTCACCCTCAACACGCACAAATTCAAGGTGAACAGAGGCAGCATTATCTCACTGATCATGCCGCCTCTCCCTCCATTCAGAAACCTCATATTAGCACTCCTCTCTGTGGCCTTCTCGGCTAAGATTTCGGTCTGTGCGATGAACAAGCACTCCCAAAACAGCAGCATCCCCAGAACCTGTGGTGGCCACAATATCACCTTCCCATTCTCCATCCTAGACCAACAGCCCTCTTACTGCGGCTTCCCTGGCTATGTAGAGATTGTGGCAGAGGATGCCAGAAATGAAACTGGAGAGGCGCAGTGAAACTCAGGTACAAAGTGGAAGAGACAAATGTGTCCGAGGACTTCCCATTTCAGTTCACTATTCATACTTAACGAAAGCATTCAACTTTCTCCTCCTCCAACTTGCAACGATGGCGACTTTGGGACGTGGAAGGTTTCGGATGGGTTAACTTGACGAAGTTGAATTTCATGTGCATTTCCTGAATTTCAACAGTCTACGATCTGATATGAGGTTGATATGTAGAACACCACATACTCTTCCAGTTTTGTCAGAATAATCAAAGCTCTCAAACTCGAGAAAATCTCCAAGTCAAACTTATCAGACAACACCCCCCCCCATCCAAGAACCTCTAACACTTATCTCTCTCTCTCTCTCTCTCTCTCTACGCATGATATCACCATCTTCGACAAATCTCCACCACCCCATCGATCCACAATGACCAGAACCAGAATCAGAACCGCCCTCACGCCTCCTCCCTCTCCTCTCCCAACCAGCACAGACCTCTTGCTGCTGTTGCTCTTCTTTCTCTCCTTATCACCCAGGGAGTCTCTCTCCCTCATCGACTTCCACTTCGGAAACTGCAGCCTCCCCGTCACCTGCGGCGGCCTCAACATCACTTCCCCGTTCTACGTCCGCGACCGGCAGCCCTCCTACTGTGGCTTCCCAGGCTTCGACCTGTCCTGCCCGAACGACCGCCCGGTCATCACGCTCTCCGGCGACGACTATGTCGTCCGCGATGTCTTCTACGAGAACCAGTCTCTCCGTATCTCCAATGCCGCCCTCCCCGACGACAACTCAGCCGCCTTCTCTTCCTGCGCGCCTGGTTCTCTCAAGAGCGTGACCCTCCCGTCGACTCTGTTCCAGTTGAGCCTGAACGTTCCCGACACTCTCTCTCTGTTATACAACTGCAACATCACTCCCCGCGCCGACGAGCTTCTGAACTACAGGATCAGCTTTTCTGGCGAAGAAGGTGAAGGCGGGGTGGTGTTGGGGATATATGGGGATGGCAAGGATCAAGAAGTGATTGATGCGGCAAAAGAGTGCCAGACTTTGGTGGAGGCGCCGGTGGCGGCCAAGTGGATAGGGAGGGCAGAGATAGAGGAGGCGTTGAGAAGTGGGTTCGTGTTGAATTGGACGGCGAGCGATTGCAGCGCGTGAGGAGAGCGGCAGCCAGTGCGGGTTTGATTATGGGATCTACCATTACCAGTGTTACTGCCCTGACCGGCCTCATGCATGGTATTGTGTTCCTGGTTGCCGTATTTCCTCTTCACTCTGTGTCTGCGCATAATGCACTGTTCTCTTCATGAAATGTTGATCAGATTCAGCGGATTGTGTGGTCGAGTCGAATGCACTCCCCTTTCTCCCTAGAATTTACTACACCCCTAAATCATAAAATTTCAGGGGCATCACAAGCTTACCGCATAGCGGATTGTTCTTGAATGTCAGATCAACACAGTCTCTGTCCATTGTCGAAATTTTTTGTTGTTGCATCAGGGTATCTTTCCTTGGTTGATTAGGGAAAAATCTTTGAAGGACCCATAAGTCTGTTGAACCTTAAGTCATGTGCGAACCGAGTACCTTGAGCCATACGGCACCAAAATGACAACAATATGACACGCAAAATTCCTCTCGAGCTAAGCAATCTGACACTACTGGAGGTTCTTGAGCTCTCTATAATTATCTTAGCAGGAGTATGATGAAATGGCATAGATAGCTAAGGAGTATTTGAAAAATAAACCCTTTCTTAACACTCCGACTGCTAAGTATAACTCATCATCGGTCGGTCTCTCACTTGTAGAAGGCAATTTTTCAACAGCAGTGACAGTCAGAAGTATGTTGCTTCCCATGCATTTTTCCTCGAAAGTGGCCGAGCAAAACATTAAGGCTCCTTGAAAGTTCTGAGCAGGACTCTGAGCAAATGGTTATCAAGTCAAGAGAAACTTGAACTAGAAAATGCCATGACCATTTCCTCCATATTCTTAATAATTTGAAGGCCACATCACCTACTATTACCATTGCTAGTTTGATGTCTTGACACAAAACCTCGTTTTCTTTTATCTTCTTTCTTTTTTAGCCGTATATTATCATTTTAATCCTCAAACTTCTTGTATTTTGGCAATTTGTTCGTCAAAGTCAACGTTGTTAGTTCACTCCCTTAATTTCAATAGTTTTCATTCTTTAGCACCAGTACTAAATTAGTCATTTTAAAGACGGGGAATAAGAGTCACCGTAATGAGTATGGATCAAAATATGATCCCTAAGTTTTCAATCTTATATGTATGGCGTCCTCTCCGACTGTTGTGAAAAGAATTCCTGCTGTCGTAAAAAGCATTCCTACTGGTTTCATAATAGTTTTGATTGGGAGATTTACCTGACAAGGATTTGTGTCCTTTGTAACAGCGCAACAAGGCGATTTGGTGATGAAAGTCGCTATAGGTACTCCATTAAACCTACTCTTTTTGTTTCATGTACTAATTCACTGCGCAGAAACCTCCACAAGTTTTGCTTTTCCAACATTAGGACCTTAGATTAGAAAAATGATGAACTGAAGTTGTTGCTCGCGAATCTTTTTCTTTTCTCTAATCAGCTGCATCAGGAGTTGGAATTGCGATTGTCATTCTTGTAGTCTATTCCATTAGGAAGAAGTCGATGATACGAAAACATATGGATTTGATGATGGGAAAGAAAGAACATTCTTCAACCGCACAGAAAATTGAGGGACTGTTCTCTTCAAGGAGATATACCTACAAAGATATCAAGAGGATGACCAATTCTTTCCGGGAAAAGTTGGGTCAAGGAGGTTATGGTTATGTATACAAAGGCAATCTTCGTGATGGTCAACTTGTGGCCGTGAAGCTTCTAAAGAAACTGAAAGGCGATGGCGAAGAATTTGTCAATGAAGTTGCGAGCATAAGCAGGACTTCTCATGTCAATGTTGTCAGCCTTCTGGGCTTTTGCTTTGAGGGAAGCAAAAGAGCTTTAGTTTATGAGTTCATGCCGAATGGATCATTGGAAAAGTTCATATTCAAAAGCAACACTTCAGAGGCAAATCTGCAATTGAGTTGGGAGATATTATACAACATCTCCCTAGGCATAGCACAAGGGCTAGAGTACCTGCATCGAGGTTGTAATGCCAGGATCTTGCATTTCGATATAAAGCCTCACAACATTCTTCTCGATCGGAATTATTGTCCGAAGATTTCCGACTTTGGTCTTGCCAAAATATGTCCTAGAGAAGAGAGTATCGTGTCGATGTTGGGTGCACGCGGCACTGCAGGCTACATTGCTCCGGAATTGGTCATAAGGAACATTGGAGGGGTTTCTCACAAATCGGATGTCTACAGTTACGGCATGATGGTTCTGAAAATAGTCGGCGTGAGAAAAAACGTTGAAGTTGGGGTGGACCGTACTAGCGAAATATATTTTCCTCATTGGATTCACGAACGCCTTGAACTTCAGGAAGAACTCGGGTTGCATGATATCACGAATGAGGAAGACGAAGGAATCACGAAGAAGATGATCATAATCAGCTTGTGGTGCATTCAGATTGATCCGAGAGCTCGACCATCGATGACTCAAGTCGTGGAGATGCTGAGAGGAAGTGTTGAGGCCTTGCAAATTCCCCCCAAACCAACCTTGTCTTCCCCCTCATCGAGATCCCCCATAGCTACTACAGACGGGAGTTCGCTGCTACAATTTGGTGTTACTACAGCAACTGCATAAATTTATATGAGATACTTCTTTTGAGATCTCTCCCAGCTTGTCTAGGTGAAAGTGTGTCTCTCCAAAAGAGTAATGACTCCAGTCGGGATTAATTCAATGTCAATTATACGAGACCGATACTGTTTGTAACAGAAAAACCATGTGGGCTGAACTCACATGAACTCTTGAATCGGGTGGGCCTTGTCCATTCTCATCAAGCGTTTTTGAGACATATGTCGTTTTATATAAAGAGTTTATTATAAATTATTCTAGGGAGCTAGCGAAGAACGAATGTTACAATTGTAAACGTACCGACTTTTTTCGTAATTAATATTGAGCTCAATGTCTTAGAAATTCCTTGTTATCTATGCTGAATTAGTGATCCTGAAGTACTCGTCAACGATGCAAGCTCTTAAATGGTCCTCGCATATTGCTTGGTAGAATTCTCCCGTGCCAAATTTGAGCGCTGATTTCCTTTTTTTGAAAAAAAAGAATGTAATAAACAAAGTTATATTAAGGTTCTGTTCGTTTCACGGAAAATGCAACGTTTTTGGAAAATGTTTTCCAGAAAGTCATTTTCAAGGAAATGACAATATTTTCCAGTATTCGGCTGAGACTTGAAAATGAACTGGAAAATATTTTCCGTCGTTCGGTATGAAAAATCCTCGTTGCACTCATTTTAATATTTTTTATTTTTTATTTTGTTTTTCCAAAACAATCAAAATCAAAATTTTAATTATTTTTATTTTTGAATTTTTTATTTTTTAATATTTCTTTTATTTTCTTATTTTCTCTTGTTTTAATTTTCTTTCTTCTTTTGCCAGTTGCCGACCACAGGCAAGGCTCGGCCTTGCTCACCCAAGGTCTCGTCGGCCTCGCCTGTGGCCGATCGCCGGCTGTCGCTGTGGCTGGCCGAGGAAGAAGAAAACAAAAAACAAAGAAAAGGAAAAAAAAGAAATAAAAAAAGAAAACATCATTAAAAATTAGTTTTTTTAAAATATAAAAATAAAAGTAAAATGTTTTATGTGAAAGAAAGTGAGGCGAAAGAAAAAACTGAAAACATTTTCCTCACTTTTGAAAGAGTTTTTTTCATTGATGGAAAACATTTTCCATGACTAGTTTATTTTTTATGAAACGAAAGCCGGAAAATCCGAAAAATGTTTTCCTAGAAGTTATTTTCCGCGAAACGAATGGAGCCTAAGTCAAAGAAATTTTTTATGCTCCATTCTTAATTTGAGTTTTGAAGTGTGTTTAAGGAATCTCATAGTAATTCGCGATTTCCCGGCACTCGCAATGCGGCAAAAACAAAAGTTGTCCCAGTAACTGTGCAAGAACGACTTAATTATTGCTTAATAATGCTCACTTCAAAAAATAATAAGACAATTCTATAAATTACCGTGTAAGAACCGCTTAAACTCTAAAGTCAACAGTCGTCTTAGTTTATATTGAGTTAAATCTGAGTTCGGTTCCTAAACGTGAGTATTTTAGTTCAAAAATCACGTACTATTTACGCAATCAGACTTGGAAACTACTAATACGAGAGAAGGAGTATTTCTTATCCTTAAATCTATGAAGGATAAGACCGCCGGTGAAATTTTTCACCGGCAGTGGATGGTCTATTATTCCTAATATTGATAACATAAGTTATATTTTCAATTACATTGTTATGGTAAAATTTCAAATAAGAGCTCGAAATGGAGCCATTTTCTCATAAAATGGCCTAGAGTGAACCTTGTCTCGAATAAGGGCCTAAAGTGGCCAAATCATCTCAAATAAGAACCTGAACTAGCCGGCCGGTGAGCATGTGACTTTTTCGACCATCGTGGAAGGGGTATTTTCGTCAAAAAAATTCTAGGTATAAAATAGAAATCTTAAAAACAAAAAATCCCCAATTGGTATTAATATTTCCCTCGCCGCCCTCTTTGCTTTTGCTCTTGCTTGTTTTTGTCACTTAGCCATTCTCAGTCTCTTCCCCTCCCCCAAAAACGAATAAAAATCGTCTCTTTTTCCGTTTTTTTTTTCCCCTCTCGCTGGAGTCTTCCCTAAGCTCTCTTTAGTTTCTAGATCTATTCACTCTCTCTCTCTCTGGGTTGCTAAGACAATCCTTTCTGCTCTCGATTAACTTTTTCTGACATTTTCAGGCCATTGATAATCGTCGTTTTTGTCGCTGGTTGTAGGATGGATTGAGAACTATGCACTTCTGGATCGAGGAACAAATTGAGAAGGAGAAAGCGCAGGGGATTGATATGTCGATGTGCTGTCTATTGACCTTGTTTTTTTGGGGGGGGGGGGGGGGATGTTTGGGTCTGGGGATTTCAATGCTTTGACCTAGAGTTATTTTGGACAAAAATATCCTTTCTCCGGTGGCTAAGATAGTGACATGCTCATGGTTTGGTGAAAAATTGGTCGACCGGCGAGTTTAGATCCTTATTCGAGACAATTTGATCACTTTAAACTCTTATTTGAGGCATGTGTCATTCACTTCGAATTTCTTTTTAAGAAAATAGCTCCATTTCGATCTCTTATTTGAAAATTTTCCCATTATTAGTGTTGCCCAGCACGAGTTTCCAATTCCACTCTCCAACTTCAACTTCAATTTACACTTGTAACCCAACCCCTTTTTTTCTCTCCTTCAGCTTTGCAAGGAAACAAAACCTACTTCTACCTCCTCACTCACTCCCTCGCTTCAACACCCCCCCCCCCCCCACCCGCCCCAGCAAAATTATTTTAATTAGAAATCGCTGACTTGAATACCGGTGGTGCCACGTAGGACTACCTCGTGGTAAAAGTACAATAAGTTTATAATTTTTTGGATAATTTTCCCTTTGCTCCTCCTCTGCAGCGCCACTATGTCATTGTCTCTTCACCTGAAGAAGCTCATCTCCCTCCTCCTCCTACTCCGCTTCTCTTCCCTCCAAGCTTCCACCGCCAACTCAGACGTCGAGCCTCTCTTGGCCTTCAAAGCTGCCTCCGACACCGACAACAAGCTCACCAACTGGAACTCCTCGGTAGAAACCTGCTGGTGGCTCCGCATCTCTCGCCTCTTCCTCATAAGTATTTAATAAAAATAGTATGACTATTGCATTTTGACCTAATCTTAAGGGGATCTCGACAAGAATGACAATGTAGTAATTGATAATTCTTTTTAAAACACAGATACTTTAAATTGTGGGAGTAGATTTATCATATATTTACCCTCTTCAAATGAAGAGGCATCAACACATTGAGTATTGAGGTGTGTTTTGTACTTTCCTTCATCCTATATTATTTTTTGGTTTTGTGTTCTCTTGTTCTTTCTTGATCGACCAACTCCAACGGCTCCACTTATTTGAAAAATCAACAAATTTCTGTTGCTTTACTGATTAAAAAAATTATACTCTGAGTCGTGACATCTATGTGCAGATAAAAAAGGCAAGGTCTTTAAACTTTTTTCTTAGTCAATTGATCCTTTCAATTAAAATGTAAACGAAGATGCTGATGTGATTTTTATTTTGCCATTAAATGTAGATTTTGTCATTCCACGGGGCTTTTTAAAAAACTTTTGACAAATAGAAAACAGAAATAACATTTCTAAAAACATGGTATGGCAAAGATAGAAAAAAAAGTGAGAGTGGACTAGTGGCTTACGGTGGTCTTTGTGTGGTAGTGCAATAGCGTTAGCGTTGCCACCCGGGCAACTGGCACTGTTGTCGCTGATTACATTTGAGAGAATACTCATAGAGAAAACATAAATTGTTACAAAAAAGCAGATACACACTCTCACAATGAGTCACGAGCCACCACCACTTGCACTCGGTGTGGTGATGACTGCTGTGTGGCAAGGGCTAGGCGACGCATGGCCAGGGTCATGCAACCTTGGCCAGGTCCGTCTAACCATTGATAGTGCAATCCTGGTGATCGATCTTTTGGGGTTCACGACCGTCTTTGTCTCCATTAGGGGGCTTGAGGGTTTTGTTATGTTTTAATATTTTAACCCAATCGACACAAAAGAAAATTCATGATACCACTAGTTTGTTCGAGAGTTGCGCTAATGTGGCAGTCTATAACAGCATATGCCAAAAAAAAGAAAAAGGTTCGGGATCATGATTGCTTATTTTCTGAAAGTACGGAACGACGGCTGCCCTCGTTCCAATAGAGAAAGAAAACATCATACGATAAAATTCTAAATAAAATGAGAGATGAAATCCATATTCGATTTGTTCGGAGTCCTTATGGGGGTTGGGACTGTTGCAATGGCTCCGTGATTGCTATCAGGGTCCGTGGTGCCGATCCTTCTCCGTATTGTCCTGTAATTCTTGGAATCCGTACCGATAATGTGATAGAATAGTAGACCTCTTCTCTTATTTGTCTTCTACCTAATCGGAACCGAAAGTGACGAGAAGACCTCCCTTAATTTCTAAGTCAATCGCCGGCCGTGAACTCAAATCATAGTATTCGACCTTCAAAGAGATCAAGGATGAAGAAAAATCTCAGTCAAATTCTTGTTGTTCTGAGGTTTTGCAAATTAAGCCAGGAAAGCCTGTGGGAAAGCTTCGAAACCCCGTCAAACATAAGTTGGAAATTTTGCAAGGAAAACAAAGTTGGCCATGGGCGCATGGCCATTGGAGAGAAATCGATCGTGAGTCCTGAAAACGGACCTTTTTTAGCCGAAGTATCAACAGTGGCAATAGATTTTTCTCACACTGAGAAAATATGGGGTCCACTATGTTTGCCCTTTCGGGTCCTCTACGCTCAGTTGACCTAGTCGATTGGCGTGTTAACGTGGAAAAAGATTCAACGAGACATTCATATAATATGCCATCTTTTTCATGAGGTATTGAGACAGAGGTCTTAAATTCAATTCAAAGCAACTCTCGTTCATCAATTTATGGAATTCGATCGATTTCTTAAATTTTTAGTCTTAGGCCATTCTTTTCCCCATAGGTACTAGGGCAAGCACGGGCTCCCTTTACTGCTTATGGTAATCCGAAAATTTCATAAGAAAAATGGATTTCTGCATAATACTATATCTTGCCTCAATCATCAATTTATTCATGGGTAATGTACTATTGATATAGCCTTAGCAAAAATAATTTAGTTAATCTATACTCCTAATCATCAATATATATATATATATATATATATATATATATATATATATATGTTATTTGCCGTTTTATAACATTTACTTTCGCTTTTCCATTTTAACAAATAATTTCATTTTGATCAATGAAATTCACTTTTTATTACAGTTTTTTATTATCCATGTACCATAGAATGGATTTAGATGATTCTCATAATTCATCATAGTTAAGCGATCTAGATTCACTAATGGAGAGACATTTCGCCACTTGTAATTTATGTACAGTTTATTTGGATACTTTAATGCATTTCATTTTTCAATTTTGTCTTTGGGATGATTATATAATGTTTTCTTGTTTGCATGTTAATTATATAGACTTTTTCCTTAGGATAATTTAATGCATTTCGTTACTGGTTTTCTAAGCTATCTCCAATTGCTGATGTTTGAATGCCGAAAAATGAATATCCAGAAAAGATTTGACACGTACATGAATGTCATCGTATTATTGATAATTCCGAATAAGCCAGTCTTCCTTAGACTTTCGGAGGGAAGACTTTGACCAATAGCCCCCTCGACAACCCTCTAACCAATATACAAATAAACATCAAAATCATGGGTTGTCTCCTGATCTGTCTTTCTTTCATTCTTTCTTCGCTTCTGAAATTTCAGCCAAGAGCAGTAGCTTAACTGAACCGATGTGGTATGGACGATGAATATGTCCTTTTTTCCTTGTCTAGAGTGATATGTCCCTATATTGTTTGCTTGTTGCATTTGGACTGAATGGCGTTCGATGCGGAATTTTAGGGGGAGAAGGACATTAGAAATACCAAAAGTTATGTACGGTGCTCACTTTAGTGCCAAAAGTTTATTTTGGATCACTTAAGTGTTACTTTTAAAAAAAAACGATCACTTAAGTGTCAAATCCGATTTGGATTGTCGGAAATCTGACTTGGTAATATTATATTAATTTCTTGATCCTACGTGGCTCGCCAGTGTGCCCAGTCAGCATATAACTCATAAACGACGTAGTCTAAAAGTTGTAAATAGTGATTATTTGAGTATCAAATTTTGTTTAAAGTGATCACTTCAGTGCTAGTTGTTGTTAAAAATGATCACTTTAGTGCCAGTTGGATTGTGCGACGTCGTTTTGGATGTCCACGTGGACTGAATTTTTTTTAAAAATATACCAAGTCATATTAAAAAATTTAATTATAAATGCCATGTAATCAATTTGGCCGGAATTGGCACTTAAGTGATCGCTTTTTTTCCGATTCGGCACTTAAGTGATCATTTTTTCTCCGTTTTGGCACTTAAGTGATCATTTTTTCTCCGTTTTGGCACTTAAGTGATTATTTTTTCTTCGATTTGGTACTTAAGTGATAAAAAAAAACTTTTGGCACTAAAGTGAGCATTATACACAACTTTTGGCACTTCTAGTGTTCTTCTCCCAATTTTAGGAAAACGTCGCCAGCTGATATAAGTACATGAAAAGGTTGGACTTTCGTGCATGATTTGAACCTTATGTTTTTGTTTGACTATACGACAGCCAGTCCATAACAAGGTTAAATTTAATATCCAAGTGGGTATTTACAAGTGCTAAATAGTAATGACTCGGACCATTTCGAGGGTATGTATGCTTACATCTCTCTCAGGTGCAATTCGTCTCTCTCTCTTTCCTTCACATTCTTCGGCAATGTCTCCTGGATTGAATCCACGAAACGCGCTGATCTTCAGAGCTTCCCTGTTTAGGCGGATCAGTATTATCATCAGTCTCAGCATGTTCTTATTCGACTTCGTACTGTCATTTGGGGCGAACCCAAAATTTGATGATTGTCAGCCACAGAACTGCGGTAGTGGTCCAAACATAAGCTATCCTTTTTGGATCCCGAATGTTCAACAACCTAATTGTGGAATTCCTGGCTTCGATATAGAGTGCGACAACAGTAGGCCGATTTGTCGGACATTTGGATCTTGTTATGCGATTAAAGAGATTTCGTACGACGAGAACTCGTTCAGAGTGGTGAATGAAGCGGTACTCAATGCGGGATGCCCCCTGCCAAGTCTCAATTACTCTTTCGAACGCTTACGTGTTACATTTGGTCCGGACCACGCCGATCTCTGCATTTTCCGCAACTGCGATGGGTCATTTTCTGTTAATTCTACAATATCTTGGGCCGAGTGTGGTCCTGGTGATGGGAACAAATCTTTTGCTGCGATAGCTAGTATGTGCGATCACTTGAACTGGAATAGAGCGTCGTGCCAGTACTTGGTGGCCGCCCCGGTTCAAGTACAAAACTGGAAGGTGAATCAAAGTGTTGAGTACCTAAAGTTATTGGAGGACGGTTTCACGCTGAACTGGACGGGGTACAACTGCACGAGGTGCCGAAGAAGTGGGGGCCGGCGTGGCAGTCAAAATACCGCCAGTGTGTGCTATTGGCCCGACCGGACAGATCTCGTACACTGCGGCGATGGTAAGGCTCCTCAAACTATTCTAATTTAGGCTTTCGCCATTCTGCTCTTCTAGAAAGTTTTTCTTCATCATCCGGTTCTGATCCTCCGGACAAACAGGACCAAGCTATGAGAAAATTAGATCGCTGTGGGTTTCATATCAATTCGCCTGTCTTTGGGAAATATAAGATCACAAAAGATCTCACTGTCCGCTTTATCTCTGTAGAATTGGTACTTCTGATGCTTTAGTCCAAAAATTCCAGCTCGATTTCTTCGGCTTTCTTAGGCGTCCCTTTCTTCTGCTTGAAAAACACTATCTGCTTACTTTCACTCATCATTTCTAGTTTAAGTTCAATACGTTGAGAAATCCACCATTGTGACTCGAGTATAATGCCCAGCACTATACTAAGTAAACCTGGTCTAAGACCAATCGACTTCACATTCCCTGACTTGTGCACTAGCAGAACTCTGACGTGCTCCGCTCCATGACCGCTTGCTCAAGTACAATGGTCCCTAGCTACTGTCTTCGCTTACCACAATCCAAATCGCTGGGTTCACGATCCCTGATTGCCTGCTCTGATATGGTCCCCGGCCCTTAGCCTCAGGTACCAATTATAGAATTTTGGAGCTTTGATATTAATTATTGAATTTGAGAAACGCGACTCTGAAACCACTTGTAGATCTTCACTACATAAAATATTTATTGCCAATGCACACACTTGTGCTACACTTCGCTCACTCACAAGTCTCTCACTTCGCTCACATACTCCTCCCCAAGTGTTCGCTCAACTCTTGCTTTCCTCTCTATACCCCCGTGCACTTCCTACTTACACAACTCACATCACCACACACTCTCACGCCTCTCACTGCACACACGCCACCCCACACAACACTTTTTCTTTCTCTCCACTCTTCTTCAGTTGACATGGGGACTTTACCTATTTACAGAGAGATGACCCCTGACATAGTACAAAAAGAGTGCTCTACAGGAGCTCAACGTGGCTTTTCTACAATTAAAAGCTTCACCGACTCTTCAAATGATTTTCAATCACACATCTCACCTAACGCTAAGCGGACTTCAACACCAACAACTGCCTATTTAGTCTTAGATAAATCTAGAAAAGTGGGAGACTTAATGTAGAATCTAGAGAAGTTGAGAGAGAGAGAGAGAGAGAGAGAGAGGGAGGGCGGTGCCTCTTCAACAGAGAACTGGGAATTTTGAGTAGATATTATTATTACATGTTTAAATTAGGTTAATTATTTATTCCGAATTTAAATTAAAATATATATAAAATATCACGTGCATGTCATATTAGAGTAGTTACATATTAATAAATTCTCGTCATTAGAAATCTCACGTCTAGACTCATTTGCGTGCCATATTAGAGATAGTGCATTTAATTGGTGTTAAATTAGGACATTCAAATAAATCGTATGTCGCATGTCATGGTGGACGTAGAATGCATTGCATAAAGTTTAGTTTTCATTAAATCAAAGTAAAAAAGATTTGAGTGAAATTTCGTGTTAATTAAAAATCATATTAGGATTGTTGATGTGATTTTCTAACTAACGTTGCAGATGCTTTCGTTGCTCCAAGGTAAGTATTTTCTATCCGTCCTTGCGATATATTTATTGCTTTGGATTATTGAGTGTTATATTATTGGTTGCGCACTCGCATGATCACCTCATATGTTAGTGGCTTAGTTAAAATGAATCCAAGTTGCTTGTCAAAATATTTTTGAAAATAAAAGAGAAAATGTACCAAAAGGGCATTAGAATAATATAGTCTAACCACAAAATTCCTGAATCCATAATCTCTAGTTCGTAGGAATAAAGTATACTCCCAATACTTTACTTGGGTATCTAATCAACCCACCAAAAATAGATTAGTGGCGACTCCAAAATGAAAAAGATTTGCGTGTTAAGAATTAAACCTTAAGTCACAAATTGGTAAAGGCTTGGGAAAACCTGAGTTAAGTCTAGGCTTAATAATTCATTAGCCGAACCCCTAGTGGTACACCCGCGAGGATATGTCATGACAAGACTATTGCTTAAAACACTCCGTTAAGCTTAGTTCTGCAATTCTCCATAAGATATGTAACATTAGGGAATATCTATTTGCTCCTAGGATGTATAGTATTAAGTGATGTTCAGTTGATCCGTCGGAATTTATGTTAGATCAAGGAAGCCATAAAAGATCTATACATCGTATATGAACGTCATGACATTCGTAATAAACCAGTCTCCCTTAGACTTCCAAAAGGGAAGACTTTAACCAGAACCTCCCTCAACAACAGCTGAGCTAGATATACATAAACATCAATATTAAAGGCTGTTCCCTAATCTGTCTTTTTTTCTTTTTGTTTCTTTATTATCGCTTTTGAAATTCCAACCTAGGCCAGTTGCTGAACTGAACTGAACTGTTGTGGTCGATAGTTATGTCCTTTTCGCTTTGGCCAGTGTGATGTGTCAATATTGTTTGTGTTGCGGAAGCCAAGCAATCGAACAATAAAATTGACAGAATAAGAAAATTAATCGGATACCAGATTTACGTGGTTCGGTCGTAATGACCTACGTCCACGGGGAGAGCAGCACGGAATTCCACTATAGATCAAATGATACAACAGAGATTACAATCACACTCGAGTCACTCAAACACTCTAAGTGTTTCCCAAGCCCCAATTACACTCAATAACTCACGCAGTGTTTAGCCCCCAATTCTTCACGAAATAATCTCTCAATCTCTCGAAATTTTTTTACACAAATCTTATCACAAGATTTAATCGCTACAAATACTTGAACTTTTGATGTAATTTCACGAACAAAATCACGAACCCAATGCCAAGCACTCGCTTAGAATATCTTCATGTCAACCGCGGCGCTTCAAGACTTTTCTTCTCGTGGCAGCCATAACACACCCTCTGTTCCAACGAAAGAAAGGAAGAACAGCCCATATTTATTCGTGGGTCTACTCGGTCAACCTTTTCCTCTTGGATCAGAAGTCCAACACGGAAAAGGAAACCTTTTGAAAAATACACTTTCCATTCTTGACCTTAACTAATATATATAAAATATACACGCATAATCCAAGTAGGAAACTTTGGTCCGTGACTTCAATAGGAAATAGGAAAGAATATTTTCTTTCTTTCTGCTTTTCTATTCCAATGCCAAACGAGCATTCTATATTTCCGCGGCAAACGTCCATATATAATCAATTTCGGACTTTCCTTTAATAAATCTTGGGTCGGGTTTCGTTCAACGGGCTCAAACTCGAGACATATTTAACAGTTTATTTGTTTGCTTGTGGATCATATCACATTCGATGCTAAAGTTTATGAAAACCTAGCTGATATACGTGACTGGGGAATCGTTGGACTTTCGTGCATAATTGAACCTTATGGTTTTTTCTGATGACTATACAAATTTTATATATATAACTTGGTCAAATTATAATATCCAAGAGGGAATTCACTGGTGAGAATATTGTACTAACAGACCATTTAGAGGGCATATATGCCTGGACCTCTCAGGTGAATTCACCTCTCCCTCTCTTTCCTTCACGTTCTCCGATTGTCCTGTAATTTCTTAGAAACAGCTCAAAGAATGCGTACTAACATGAAGTGTTAATCGCTAGAAGAGAAGACTTCACTTTTCAAGTCAATCGCCAGCCTTCAACATGAAAAAATGAAGTGTTGGTTGACCCATTCAATTGCGTGGACTCCCCCAGTTACGTATGGTGAAAGGAAAAGCTTTTGGATTTAAATGGTCCATGGTCTTAGTTTATGATTACTTGTATTCAATGACACGTTAGATCGTCCAATAATGTCTCCGTAAAACGGACTTTCAAGAAAACGTTTTCCAGCGTTCGTTTCACGAAAAATAAATCAATCATGAAAAATATTTTCTTTCAACGGAGAAAACACCTTCAAAAGTGTGGAAAATATTTTCCTCTTTTCGAAAAGAGGAAAATATTTTCCCCCTCCTTCTTTCACAATTCATTTGAATTATTTTAATTTTCTTTTTCCAAAAATTCTAATTTTCAATTACTTTTTTCTTTTTTATCTTTTCTTTATCTTTTTATTTTTTATTTTTCTCTTTTCTTTTCTTTTTTTTTACCTTCTTCTCCAGCCGGCCACAGGCACCGCTCGAGCCTCACTAGATCGGCGACGCTCGAGCATCGCCAGAGGTTGGTGAGCTCGCCTATGGACAGTTGCCGGCCTTCGCCGTGGCCGGCGATCGGCTGGAGAAGAAGATAAAAAAAATTAAAAAAAATTAAAAATCAACTCTAAAAAATAAAAAAATCATTATAAGTAGTGTATGGAGGATTTGATTTTCCATACCAAACAGCAAAAAACGTTTTTCGAGTTTTTTTTAGATTTCAGCCGAACACTGAAAAATCGTGTCATTTTCCTAGAAAATGGCTTCCTAAAAAATGTTTTTTAGAAGCGTTATATTTTCCGGGAAACGAACGGAGAGTGGCGGTAGCAGCAAACGGAGAGTGACGTGACGTAGCGCCCAGCGTCGTGTTCTGTCATACCGCCCAGTGTTACTGTACCACTTGCCACATGATCTTTTTCTCTTATCTACACCCTCCACAATAATTCCATCCTCAAGCCATCTCTAAGCTATCAACACGCACAAATTCACGGTGAACAGAGGCAGCATCATCTCACTGATCATGCCGCCTCTTCCTCCACTCAGAAACCTCATATTAGTACTCCTCTCTGTAGCCTTCTCGGCTAAGATTTCGGTCTGTGCGATGAACAAGCACTTCCAAAACTGCAGCATCCCCAGAACCTGTGGTGGCCACAGCATCACCTTCCCATTCTCCATCCTACACCAACAATCCTCTTACTGTGGCTTCCCTGGCTTCGAATTAGCTTGCATCGACAACACTCCAATCCTCAATGTCTCAGGCAATGACTACGTCATCCATGATATCTTTTACAAGAACCAGTCTGTCCGCATCTCCAACTCCGCTGTCTCGAATAATTCGACCTTCTCCTGCACGCCTGATCTCAAGAACTTGACCCTTCCATCGACTCAGTTCCAAATTGATCCGAACATCACCGCCCCTCTCTTTCTCCTCTACAACTGCAACATTTCTAGCCATGCGGATTACCTTCTTGGGTCAAGGATTACTTGTGCTGGAAAAGAAGGCCAGGAGAGTGTTGTTCTAGCGATTTATGGAGATGACGAAGATAGGGAAGTGGTGGAGGCGTCAACCAAGTGCCAGTCAGCGGTAAAGGCGCTGGTGGCGGCAGAGTGGAGAGGGCGGAGGGGAGAGATAGAGGAGGTGCTGAGGAGTGGCTTCGTGCTGAATTGGACAGCGCCCCATTGTAGCGCGTGCGAGGAGAGTGGTGGCAAATGCGGATTCAATCTCGAGCGCTTCAGGTGTTACTGTCCTGACGGGGCTTATGCTTCGGTTTGTGTTCGTGGTAGGCTTATTTCTTCTTCACTCCGTGTCTGCGCATAATACACTCCTCTTTATGAAACATCGATTAAAATCATAGGATTGTGTGGGTCGAGTCGAGTGTACTTACCTTTCTACCTTGAATGTGCTACGAGTTACCTCTGAATCATAAATAGTCAGGGGCTCCACAAGCTCATTGCGTAGCAGAATTTTCTTGAGGGTCGGAACAACACAGTATCTGTCCATTTGTCGAAATTTTCTATCGTTGCATGAGGATATCTTTCCTTGGTTGATTAGGGAAAAATCTCTGAAGGACCCATAGTCAGTAGAACCTTAACTCATGTGCGAACCAAGGTACCTTAAGCCATACGGCACCAAGATTGGATTTATTCCTTTTATCATTTCCTTAGCCTGTTTTCTTCCATCTTGTTTAAACGTATACTATAATTTTAATCCTTGAACTTCTTGTATTTTGTCAATTTGTTCGCCAAAGTCTGCGTTCTAATTCAATCCCTAAATTTATTTTATTTTCCCTCTAAGTTAATTCTTTAGTACAAGTATTGAACTAGTCATTTTAAAAAAGATGAAATAAGAGTCACTCAGATGAATATGGATCTAATTATGATCCCTGCGTTTTTCGATCTTATATGCATAATGTCCTCTCCTGGTTTTGTCATAGTTTTGATTGGGAGAGTTCTCTGACAAGGATTTGTGTCCTTTGTAACAGCCAAACAAGGCGATTTGGTGATGAAAGTCACAATAGGTACTCCATTAAACCTACTCTTTGTCTCATACACAAATTCACTGCTCGGAAACCTTAATTAAATTTTGCTTTTCCATTATTAGGACCTTGGATTAGTAAATGACGGACTGAAATTGTTGCACTCGAATCTTTTGCTTTTCTCTAATCAGCTGCATCAGGAGTTGGAATTGCAGTTTTCATTCTTGGAGTCTATTCCTTTAGGGAGAAACCGCTGATAAGAAAACGTATTGCTTTGATGATGGGAAAGAAAGAACATTCTGCGGCCGCACAGCAAATCGAGGGACTGATCTTTTCGAGGAGATATACCTACAAAGATATCAAGAGGATGACCAATTCTTTCCAGGAAAAGTTGGGTCAAGGAGCTTATGGTCGTGTGTACAAAGGCAAGCTTCAAGACGGTCAATTTGTGGCCGTGAAGCTTTTAAAGAAACTGAAAGGCGATGGAGAAGAATTTATCAATGAAGTTGCTAGCATTAGCAGGACTTCTCATGTCAATGTTGTCAGCCTTCTAGGCTTTTGCTTTGAGGGAAGCAAAAGAGCTTTAGTTTATGAGTTCATGCCGAATGGATCACTGGAAAAGTTCGTATTCAAAAGCAACACTTTAGAGGCAAATAAGCAATTGAGTTGGGAGACATTATACAGCATCTCGCTAGGCATAGCACGAGGGCTAGAGTACCTGCATCAAGGCTGTAATGCCAGGATCTTGCATTTCGATATAAAGCCTCACAATATTCTTCTCGATTGTAATTATTGTCCGAAGATTTCCGACTTCGGTCTTGCCAAAATATGTCCTAGAGAAGAGAGTATTGTGTCGATGTTGGGTGCACGCGGCACTGCAGGCTACATTGCTCCGGAATTGGTGATAAGGAACATCGGAGGGGTTTCTCACAAATCGGATGTCTACAGTTACGGCATGATGGTTCTGAAAATAGTCGGCGTGAGAAAAAACGTTGAAGTTGGGGTGGACCGTACTAGCGAAATATATTTTCCTCATTGGATTCACGAACGCCTTGAACTTCAGGAAGAACTCGGGTTGCATGATATCACGAATGAGGAAGACGAAGGAATCACGAAGAAGATGATCATAATCAGCTTGTGGTGCATTCAGATTGATCCGAGAGCTCGACCATCGATGACTCAAGTCGTGGAGATGCTGAGAGGAAGTGTTGAGGCCTTGCAAATTCCCCCCAAACCAACCTTGTCTTCCCCCTCATCGAGATCCCTGACAGCTACTACAGAGGGGAGTTCGCTGCTACAATTTGGTGTTACTACAGCAACTGCATAAATTTATATGAGATACTTCTTTTGAGATCTCTCCCAGCTTGTCTTGGTGAAAGTGTGTCTCTCCAAAAGAGTAATGACTCCAGTCGGGATTAATTCAATGTCAATTATACGAGACCGATACTGTTTGTAACAGAAAAACCATGTGGGCTGAATCGGGTGGGCCTTGTCCATTCTCATCAAGCGTTTTTGAGACATATGTCGTTTTATATAAAGAGTTTATTATAAATTATTCTAGGGAGCTAGCGAAGAACGAATGTTACAATTGTAAACGTACCGACTTTTTTCGGAATTAATGTCGAGCTCAATGTCTCAGAAATTCCTTGTTATCTATGCTTAAATCAGTGATCCCGAAGTACTTGTCAACGATGCAAGCTCCTAAATGGTCCTCGCATATTGCTTGGTAGAATTCTCCCGCGCCAAATTTGATTGCTGATTTCCATTTTTTGAAAAAAGAAGAAGAATGTAATAAACAAAGTCATATTAAGGCTCCGTTCATTTCACAGAAAATGCAACGCTTTTGGAAAACAAAGTCATATCAAGGAAAATGACAATATCTTCCGGTATTCGGCTAAGACTTGAAAATAAACTGGAAAATATTTTCCGTTGTTCGGTATGGAAAATCCTCATTGCACTCATTTCAATATTTTTTATTTTAGTATTTTCAAAAAAATCAAAGTCGAAATTTTAATTATTTTATTTTTTAATATTTCTTTTATTTTCTTTATTTTCTTTTTTTTTATTTCTTTCTTCTTCCGTCAGTTGTTGGCCATAGGTGAGGCTTGGCCTCACTCACCCAAGGCCTCGTCGGCCTCACTTGTGGTCGGTCGCCAGGGCAACAGCCGGTGACCGGCCAAGGAAGAAGAAAACAAAAAGAAAGAAAAGGAAAAAAAAGATGAGAAAAAATAAAAAATAAAAAATCATTAAAAATTAGTTTTTTAAAAATATAAAAATAAAATAAAATAAAAATATAAAAGTAAAAGTAAAATGTGTTATGTGAAAGAAAGTGAGGCAAAAGAAAAGGCGGAAAATATTTTCCTCACTTTTGAAAGAGTTTTTTTTCCATCGGTGGAAAATATTTTCTATGACTAGTTTATTTTCCATGAAACGAAAGTCGGAAAATCCGAAAAATGTTTTCCTAGAAGTTATTTTCTGTGGCGGGTTGACTCGGTCGAGCCCGAATCGGGCAGCAAGAAGAGCGCGAGCGGACGCACTCTGAATGACCTGCTCGTGTCGCCGCCGCCAAGTCTGGAAAGAGACCATGACAAAAGAGGAGGCGCCAGAGGAAATGGAAGTGGTGGGGAGGAGGCGTTTCCTTTCCATGCGGGCAGTCTAGGCGGCCTGATTGCTGGACCGGGTTCGCCGAGGCTGGTTTTCACGGGGCTGCGGTTCAGGTCGCTGATGCTCAGGAAGGCTTGGCGTCCCACGCTGGAAACAATACCCGAGTGATATGATATGCAACATGCGGATCGCAAAGTTTTGCCTATGCACCGTGACGAGGGCCGGCGTTCCGAGTGGCAGATCAACTCGTTCTTCCCACTCATTCCCTTAGACTCCATCTCGATCTTATCTTCGCGATTCGCGTTGCATATTTCTGTTCGGTCTCAAGTGAGTGCAGATGAGATTTTAATGAAATCTCGATGGCCATTCGAAAATTGCGTTCGGCAAAATTTTACGTACTCGTAAGTTGCATTATCTGTTGTATTGTCAAGCAGTTGCATTCGTCGTCCATCAGGGTCGTGCAATGTCGCATTACAGAAGAGTCGGACTCAACCCTGTTCATCTGATACTCCAAAGACTGTAGCTCTACAGTAAAGGCAATTCACCGCTCCGGCGGCACAACCTTGCTGCACGAGATGTCGGAACACCTTCGCCACGCTGCGAACGGGCAGGCGGCCCCGAACCACTACCAATGCCAATCTCCGCTGTAACCATCAAAACCTGAACAGGGCCACGGTTCGAGTTCGACCCCGACCCATTTTTCCCCGCTGAAACCACGTGAAGTATCTCTCGGAAACCGTCGAGATCACGGAGGAGAGGGAGAGAGCTAGGTTGTGCAATGAAAATAGTGAAGGATCATTACAAGAACCAAAGTTTGACGAGTGAGATGAGCATTGATGAGGGTGTACAATCTTAAAGATTAGAAAGTGGAATTAAATCTGTTATGAATAATTTAGATAATATTTTCCTCAAAACAATCGCTTACAAAAATGAATGAATTAAAAATATTTTAATCGTTCACAAAAATATTTATACGTAATTTGCTGTTGATAATGTAAAATTTTTCATTGCCTAATTATTTTAAGAGATACACGTGATCATTTTTAGGACATATAATCTAAATCATTCATTTTCCGAGAAATAAATGGAGCCTATAGGTGTGTGCTTCAAGAAAGAAGGAAACAAATAGAAGCTGGTGGATCCTTTAATGACCTAGTCCAATGAGGATAAATTGCCAAAAAAGTCTTAAACCTATTGCATTTTTGCCATTTTAGTCATCAACATTTTAATCTTGCCAATTGAGTCCAGAAACACATTATGTGAAAAGGCAGAGCTTGAATCCTTGACAATGCAGAAAGATAGACTATCAAAGAACTCGTTCATGAATCTTCTCCAACGCAACAACCAAAGAACTCGCCTAGCGATGGCAAGCCTCGCCCTCGCCAGCCACTGGCAAGACTTGACCTTGCCAGTGGCTCGCGTGGTCGATCTCGCCGCACTTACCTTTGGCAAGTCGTTGGAAAAGAAAAAACGAAAAGAATAAATAAAACATTCGAAAATTATTTAAATATTATTTAAAAATGGCCACTTTAGTGCTGGCCGCGCCACGTAGGATGGCTGGCGTTCATATTAGCGATTTCCGGCCAAAATTGACCGAATGTATTGAATTGGCACAAATGCAAAATATTTAGGACTCAATTGGCGAAAAAAAAAAGATTTTATGATTAAATTGGCACGATTACAATAGATTTAAGACTTTTTTGATAATTTCCTCAACAAACAGCAATAAGGCGGGACAAGCGTGGAAATGAAGAAAAGAAAGAAAAGAAGAAAAAAGCCGCATCTGACGCCACACGATTCTTAATAATAGAAAAGGTCATATAGTTTGGGATTTAGCTAATTTGACAACTCAGCAATTTTCATTAGCTAAATTTGACAAAATTAGCGGACAAACTTGATTATATCAATTTAGCTAATTTTAGAATTTGATTACACTTTTTAAATATTTTAATTGTACTTCACCATTGAAAAATCAACAAATGTCTTTGCTTTATTGGTTAAAAAAAGAGGGATTAATACCACGAAAAGTTCCAAACCAGTACATACGTGACAATTTACCCAAAACTAATTTTTTTACCACAAAAAACCTCAAATCGGTACATTTGTGACAAATTTATCCTCCGTTAGTTTCCGTTAAATTGGATTAATACAAAAAAAAATCACAAACTAGTATGCCTGTGACAAACGGAGGGTAAAACCCAAAACTAGTACATCCGTCAACTGCCGCTTGTCATTTAACAAATCAATTTAACAGTAAAATTTAATAAATTTATTACAAATATATCAGTTTGGGATTTTTGTTGCTCAAAAAGTTAGTTTGGGATAAATTTGTTATGTGTACTAATTTGAGGCTTTTCGTGATATTAACTCTTAAAAAAAAAATTTGAGGGAAATTACATATTTAATCCCCTATAGTCTGGGGAGATTTCACTTTTGGTCCTGTTCTTATTGGCCCGTGGACAATCAAAGTGATTCGGTCGAAAGTTGCGCTTGAAATTTTCCCGCAAATTATTGAATCCCGACGTAAGAAACATTAGACTATCGTTCGTTCCACCGTGCTCCTGGTAACATCAAGTTTAGTGTTCGTTTCGAATCAGTTCTCTTCCGGATTGCAAAACGCAGCCTGACGAGCGATTTTCCTGCTTCGGGAGTATCCAGTGGAGGAAGCGATTCGACTTGCTGCATCTGGAGTTTCTGAATCTATTCGCGTGAGGAAGCTCGAGCAGGACCCCTTTTCGCATCGACCACAGACCGGGGCCATTGCGCCGAAGATAGCGACGATACTTTCAGATTTTGCGCACAAGCTCCCTCAACGTCTGTTGGAAGAACAGTTCATCGCCCTGTTGCAGTCATGTAGGACCAAGAAGCGACTTCATCAAATCCACGCCCAGGTGGTCTGCCATGGCCTCGAACGGAACCACTATGTTGCCCCGAAAATCATCGCGGCTTGTGCTCAGCTCAAGGAAATGGGGTATGCCCATCACGTGTTCGACCGGATTCTCGACCCGAATGTTTCTCACTGGAACGCCGTGCTCAGGGGGTATTCTCAAAATTAATTGAACAGGGAGGTCGTTGTTTTGTTCAGTCGAATGAGGAGCATGGGCGTGATGCCCAATTGCTTCACTTTCCCCGTTGTGCTCAAATCCTGTGGCAAGATCAATGCTTTGACCGAAGGCCAGGAAGTGCATTGTTTCGTGATCAAGTCCGGTTTTAAAGAAAATCCTTTTGTGGGTACCACCCTGATTGAAATGTACTCGAGCGGGGGAGAAGCTGGTCCTGCTTACAAGGCCTTTGGTGAGATGATTGAGAGGAATGTCGTTGCATGGACTTCGATGGTGAATGGATACCTCTTGTGTGGAGATGTAGTTTCAGCGAGGCGTCTGTTCGACTTGGCTCCTGAACGTGACATAGTGTTATGGAACACCATGATCTCTGGTTACATTGAAACTGGGGACATGGTGGCTGCACGGAAGCTCTTCGATGTCATGCCCAACCGGGATGTCATGTCGTGGAACACTATGTTAAATGGTTTTGCTAATAACGGGGATCTCGATGCTTGTGAAGTGATGTTTGACGAGATGCCTGAACGGAATATTTTCTCATGGAATGGCTTGATTGGAGGATACGCCCATGGTGGTAATTTCTTGCAAGTCTTGGCCACTTTCAAGAGAATGTTGATTGATGGCACTGTGAGCCCAAATGATGCCACTCTTGTGACTGTTTTGTCTGCGTGTGCTAGACTAGGAGCTCTTGATTTGGGTAAGTGGGTACATGTTTATGCCGAGAGCTACGGATATGGTGGGAATACATATGTTGTCAATGCTCTGATTGACATGTATGCGAAATGCGGGACT